GTGAGTCTTCTCTTGATCCTAGCGTTTTTCGGTTCTGGTGATGTACTGTTACCAATCTGAAACTCCTGTTGTGACAATTTGCATGTAATCGTATCACCTATTATCTTTTGTGAATAGATATTAAAGCTAAGATCGAAAGTTAAGCTTCATAAATTATTCTTCACTTCTCCAGTTAGGAGCACAAAAGACGTTAATTATAAGTCTTAATATTCGTACAAAATATTTAACGAAGATTCAATGGAATTTTGTTAGCTAATATTTTTCACAGTTTGACTGATGATTGGATAGTCTCACTTAAAGTGCTCTACTTTTTTTTCGGACCATGAATTATGGATATGTTATGAAAATTGTTCTCTACAGGTCTTATAAACTAGTTATTGCACATGATGTTTTAGGCCCCACAATCATGTCATTTATTAGAATCTTTGTAACTGTATCATTTACAGATGTTTCTTATAAGCTTGTTCGCTGTGTGCTAGTCTTATTGACTTGTGTCATATTTTGTTTTATCCGCAGCTGGCTTGCTTCCAGCCAACACCACTCGTTCAGGTAGTCGGTGCTTGGAAATACGTAACATAATTTCAGTGGGTTTTTCCAATTTCATTTCATGTCACTTATGCTTTAAGCTCTTTCTTTCCCTGGTCGTTTTATTCGTCGTGAACTCAATCCCGCGTTCATTTAGATTTTAGCCACAGCACGCGCTTAGGTAGTATTTTTCTTTGATAGTGACGGGACGGTACTAGCTTTGTTTTTTCTGTCTACTACACTAATCGATTTCAAGTTCAGATACCCAGGTTTGCTAGGTCTAGTCATTCTACATAGCTGCATAAATCAGATTATACGCATTGAATTCCGAAATACAGTAATCGAAGCCGCATAGTTTAATAGAAGCCACCTGTTCACTTTTTTGCCTGTTTTCATTAATGAACGATGCGATAATAAGACGCAGTAACATTTGCTGTTCAAATCTCTGATGTGCAGTAAGTCTGTAATCGAAAGTATGAACCGTACTGCACATAACGACCAACCGAAAATATGCGTTACATAGTTTTCGGAAATCAAGCGTTGTTTTAATTGGGAACTGAAGTGTAATTATAAAGTAAATCAGGGGAGCAGTTTGAATTCATAGATTTTTACTGATTATACATATATATCTTGATTCTTTGTTTCTCAAAGGTATTGGTGACTTATCTGTTTATCGGTACAATGAATCTCGGGCGATCGAGTGGTTGTCGAATAGAGTATCTGCTGTTTATAAGGCTTCCTTCAACTGCAAGGATCCTGTTTTAATTTCTCAGCTTCGATTAATTGCTTCTAATTCGTCTTCTAATTATACTGATGAGGCAAATGATGATTCAAGAGTTCCGGAATTTACCTCGAGTAAGACGTTTTCGAAATTTCCATTGTTTAGTCCATAAATAATTTTTTTATCAAATTGTTAACCATAGTTTGGAGCTCCTTTTCTCTATTTTTCTCTCAATCAATTCTCTCCCGACCAAATATACGATAATCAACAAGGATTGCTCGAATATCCTGGGACACCCGAGTGAGTAACGCTGTTATTAGGAATCGGGTGCTAGGTAAGAATTGCAGATCGATAGATAAGGCAGTGAAACTTCATCAGTTGAGGTGGTTGGGTCATGTGTCGCGTATGCCTAACCACCGACTGCCTCGACGAGCTTTGTTTTGTAGTGTAGGAATAGGTTGTAAGAAAGTTAGGGGCGGCCAAACCAAAACACGGCATAAATCCATGAAGTCATTGACGAGTGGACTTAGCCATGTCGGTAATTGTCGACTACCTGGTTGGGGTCCGCGAGATGATAATAATCGATGGTTAGAGACCTTGAATGACATGGCTCAAAATCGTTCGCAATGGCGCCGATGCATTTATTCTTTGTGTTCTCTCAAATCCTAATCTTCTGGATTCTTCAACACCTCTAGTTTTGACTTTCTAAACTTTTCTCACTGAATCATACTTCTTGAATAATATCGTCGAATCGTAACTTCTGAGATTACTTCTAATACCCTTACTAACTCTTCTACTATTGGATTTGAATTGACAATTACTTCTCTGATCTGATGTGGTATTTCGACATGAAATGATGTACTTACGTACGAAGTTCTAAGTTGCAACTGACTGACTGAATCAACAAGGAAATCAAATCTCCTTCAGTTCACCCAAACCCAGACATTACTTACTTACTTCAGCTCATATAGTTAACTAGTATTCTGTTTCCAATTAATGGGACTGACTGTTTTACGAGACTAAGTTCCTCAAAGTATATGTGTTACTAGTTAACAATCTTTAGAAATCTCGGAAAATTGTGTTATTAAGTGACGTTGATGAATATACATCTCAAACCAACAACTGTTATATTTTTCGAATTCATGGTTGCATGTGACTAATCCAACAAGACTACTTCGAAACCACTTATCTGAACGTACAAATTCCAAGTTCATCAGCAAAATTAGAGCACTACGAAATTTGAGTAGAATTAAGCTAAAGATTTGTTGTATACGGTAACTTCAGTCATTGAGTTCTCTGACGTAGTTGGTTTATATTCATAAGCTGCTCATTCCTTTTCCAGAGATATCGACAGTAACTTCAGATAAGAATGGGCTATTAAGATTTCACGCGTAACTGATAACTTTTCTGAATGAAAGCTTCACAACAAATTGAACGTATATAACACCATATCTCTTCACTATTCCCAACCTACGGTGTTCACCAGCGTTAATCAATATCTCTTTGATATTTAATTCTCCCTATAGATGATAACCTGGAAATAACTCTAACAATATGTTTTTTTAGTGTACAGCTGTTATATAGAGAAATACTTTTAAGCTCAGAGTATACAGATGGTATTGTCGTAATATGCTGTAACATTAAGGCTCCTCAAATGGGTCCAGTGAGTGGTATGTACTTTGCACGATCACAGTGGAAAAATACTTCTAAAAGACTGTCTGGGGTTTCGTTCTCTATGAGCTGGATGTTTTGGTTGTGAAGCTTGCATTGCTATGCTGAAGACAACATCATCGGCACAAACTTCAGGTAGCGAAGTGAATTTGACGCGTATGACTCGTAGTTTGTTCTATTGACCTCGATATTAATTGGTTGTCATTGAGCTAATACCTGTCATTGTTTGCACCTCCATTTTGATTGTATCTCCTTTTGATCTGTTTCTTGATCCTATGTTTGCCTATGATTTTTTTTGATTGGTTCATAAACTGTGTCAATGTCGATGTGTTTGTTGATTGCTGATTGACCTGAGTGCCAAGCTTCTTAAAATTCTCTAGTGTTCTTTGTGCTCCCCCTATTCAGTATTTCCACATTGTTCCAATCAAACGAATTCCCTGAGTTATCCGTATGTATTGATATAAGGGAAAAATGTCATGGCGTTTGATTGCTAATTGATAGTCACGCAAACGAAGCTGAAGAGGATATCCACTTTGTCCTGCGTAGTGTTTTTCGCAGCCTGAGCAGTTGATTTTGTAGATGATAGTAGTTTTTGTTCCTTTGTCATTCTGTCTTTTGGTTTACACTATTGGCATGACAGTCGTATTTTCTGATGAATCATTGAGGTAATAATATTTACAAATAATCCATTTAAAAGCATGTAGCCAACATTAGAATTAGTCATATTTCCTAAACAATCAATTAGAAATAAGGTTAATATCTTGTGAACTTTTAATACAAATGAATATCCAATAGGAACAAATTTCCTCTTACAGCACAATTTGATTAGGTGTTGATTGTGAAGATAAATCTACCTTACCACTTTTATTTTGAATCGCAATTAATTCTGTGTACTTTCTAAACTGATCTCATTGTATAATTGATTGAAAATCTGATATGAAATGATCTTGGAAATGGATGTATTTCAGACATTGTAACTAATCAGTGTTAGAAGTTGGTATGAAACCGACTAATGTAGTAACGTGTGAAAACTCATCTTGTGTTGACTGATTTAGCAATTAGTCGTTGAGTTAATTTCTAAGTCAGTTCACATAGTCGATGCATTTATCACAGCACAAATCTATGAAGTCACTGACAAATGTACTGAGCCATGTTGATAGGTGTAGACTACGTGGTCCGCGAAACGAAAGTCGCCGATGGTTAGAGACCTTGAATGACATAGCTCAAAAGCGTTGGAAACGGTGCAGGTGCATCCACTGTTTGTGTTCTCTCAAATCCTAAACTTTTTAAATTCTTCATGACTTTATCTTTATGTTCTTAAGTTTATCTCACTTAATCATACTTCTTGAATATATCTTCGAACCCTAACCTCTCCGATTACTTTTAATACCTTTACTTCTACCTTTACTACTATGGGATTTGAATTGACAAATACATCTCAGTGTTTATATGGTATGGCAACATGAACTGATGTACTTACGTACGAAGTTCTACGTTGCTATCGATTGATTGATTGCAACCTAGACTGATGTACGTTATGAAGGTAGATTAGTGTTGGTCTTGGAGACCTGAGAGCGTGACCGAAAAGCCCAAGATACAACTGCTTGTGGCCGTTCACGCACGGCCTTTTTACCAGAAGTTTGTGAAGTTTGAGCTCCGTTCTTTTTAAAAGGCCTTACCATCAGAGATGGAAATCCGTAAGGTAACGTGAAGTATGACATTTTTAGGGTCGACCTTCGCTAACTCCTTCCTTCCTTGTAAGAAGACAGCATCGCTGTAGATCATGGTTGTCCGAGGGAAACACCATCCCGTTGTCACACCTCTCAGCAGTCAGCAGTACGACTTCGCCATCAAGACTTGAGTAGCCGCTTTTAGTCTCATCGTTCCGCCATCGACCTGCCTGGCATGGTAGAACCTACAGTATCATATGTTCCAAACAATATAGCTCGGTTGAATCATCGCGATACGCAAACCCGGCCACCACGACAAGATAGCAGCTACGGTCGGGAACTGATGTACGTCCGTACGAAGTTCTACATTGTAACTCATCTAACACAATATGAAAATAAATAAACATACTTACATTTAAACGTCCACAACATCTGTAAATAGGATGAAAGTCAACAAATAGGCACTTAAATAAGCGCAAAATAATTCGTGTTAGACCTTATACACCACCTGTTCACACAAGAATAATCTTACTTAGATGTATATATGCTCTTTTTGTGTTTAGATTGCGTGAAATAATCTCATTTTATGAGGGGATAAAGTACCTGTTTGTTTTCTCTTTCATTATTTACTTTCATAATAAAATCGATCATAGATGCTTAAGAAGCGTTGCTCATATATCGTGGGACAACCGAGTAAGTAATGCTGTCGTTAGGAAACGATTATTAGGTAAGGATGGAAGATTAATAGATGAAGTGGTGAAACTTCGTCAGTTGAGGTGGTTGGGACATGTGTTACGTATGCCTAACCACCGACTGCCTCGACAAGCTATGTTTTGTGGTGTAGGAGTAGGTTGGAAGAATGTTAGGGGCGGCCAAACCAAAACATGGCATAAATCCATGAAGTCACTGAGAAGTGGACTGAGTCATGTTGGTAGATGTAGACTACCTGGTTGGGGTCCGCGAGACGAAAGTCACCGATGGTAAGAGACGTTGAACGACATGGCTCAAAATCGTTTGCAATGGCGCAAGTGCATTCATTCGTTGTGCTCTCTCAAATCCTAATCTTCTGGATTCGTCAGCACCTCTACCTTTGTCTTTCTAACCTTATCTCAATGAATTATACTTCTTGAATAATATCTTCGAATCCTAGTCTTCTTCATTACCAATAATACCTCTACTATCTTCACTATGGGATTTGATTTGACATTTGCGTCTCTGTGCTAATGTGGTATAGCAACATGAACTTATGTACATACGTACGAAGTTTTACGTTGCAACTGACTGACTGACTAATAAATTCTTTGTTATGTCAATATATTGAATTACCAATATATACACTTCATCATTTTCTTTTTTGGTACCCTATAAATAGGCTCTAAAGAAGCTCAAATGTTATCAACCAACCAATTGTCACATGAAGCATGTTTAAATTTAGCCTATCAGTTAGTGGTTGATTATCTTCCACCAGATTTATGGAACAAACTCCGAGAAAAGATTGGATTAAAAACTAACACTGTTGAAGTCAATTTATCAGAGAACGGTTCTGCTGTAATCATCTCTGAAAATATAGACCCCCTTCTTGATAACCGATCCTTGGAGAAGTCGTTTGATGTTAGTTGATTTTTTTAAACGATTATTTTGTTACGCCTGCACGTAAACACGTCAACTTGATATACTTGAACTATTACGAGTTTACCTAGTCGGAAAACGAGAGCGAGGATCGAGGATCCGGTGACATGACATGCTACTCAAATCCAATTATCCCAACCCCCATATTTAGTAAAAATAAGAAGACTTGATATGAAGTAGAACATGTATTCTACAAGCATCCAGAAAGTACGAGGTCCGAATCCAGAAGAGAATCAGGACCCCGGATTAGGGATCCGGGACCAGGTCCTGGTCGTGGTCATAAAATGTTACAGATAATGCGTATTTATACATTTCGGTCGAATAGGAAACAGCATGGAATTCTGTGGCATCGACAGGTCGACCAATCAGAGACAACATTGAAGTATTTGACTTTGACAGTTAAAATGACCATAATTTTGACCAATCGAAATCGACCAATAGGCATTGACCAAAAATTAATTCTCTTAGGATATTGGATGAATATCCTAACACTTGAGTGTCTTGAAGTTTTCATTTGACAGTCTAACTAACATTAATTGAGTGGGTGGGTTGTCTTAATTTGTTGACTGTTTTTTTCTTACTGTTTATATTACTAAATTAATTGCTTCTCAATTCCTTTTATGTTTTGATATTTTTTATTATTTTAAAAATCAAAGTTGGAAAATTGTCAACCTAATAAAGATGATTCTTGTTTGGCTTTAAAATTAAATGAATCAAAAATCAATGAGGTTGGTTGTACTTTTTTGTAAAGCTCATTCAGTGTATTCTTTGTGTTGTGATTTTGTTACGCATGAACGTCAACATGTCAATTTGGTATTCTTGAACTATTATGAGTTTACCTTAGTCGGAAAATGAGAGCGAGGAATGAGGATTCGGCGACACGACATGCTACTCTAATCCAATTGTCCCAACCTCCCAGGTTGAGTAAAAGAAGAAGAACTTGATATGAAGTAGGACGTGTATTCTACAAGCATCCAGAAAGTACATGGTCCGAGTCCAGAAGAGGACGAGGATCCCTGTCCGGGTCATAAAACGTTACAGATAATGCGTATTTAGACATTTAGGTCGAATAGGAACCAACATTGGAGTCTGTGACATTGATTGGTAGGACGACCATACTATTGACCAGTAGGAATCAACCAATAGGAATTGACCAATAAAACTAGACTAACAAATAATTCTCTTAGGATATTGGATGAATATCGTAACAGTTTTATTAATTGGGATTCCCCTACTCATCGACCCAGTTTAGCGTTGGAATTCCTATTGTCCTCTCAATTTTCATAAACAATATCTGTGCTGTGAGAAGGCGTGAGTAGAGACTTTCGGGACAGTGGCTATACACCATGACCATATGAGAGCATTTGTAGCGTGGCGAGCAAATTCTGCCAACTCTTGACCCCGTACCTGAGCATAGTAAATAGTTTAATAGAGGCGAAATACAAAAGCTTGCGCAGACACTAATCAGTTCACTCTGTACTTTCATACATAACTGAGTTAAATTTATTGGCATCCTGAGTTTTATACCATATCCTCGATTCAATTACCTTAAAAATGTTTTA